AGTTGCCAGAAAATTTTATTCCTAACCCATAAAAACCTTGATATGAAACGATGATCGATTTAGCGTTATGTGATATCAATTTTGAATTGATAATATCAAGTTTATATGCTCGAATTTCATATATGTCTTTCTCCCTAATACTCATGTAACTTTATGGGCTAACGGTTAAAACGATATGCCAGAAATTTACCATGCGCATATCAATTTGACCGCGAAATGTTTTTTTTCTGTATATTTTCCCAAATATTTCAAAGAATTACTCATTTTTAACACTTAAATAATGTGTAACAATATCCTGTTATCAATTTTTAAGGCCGTACAGAAAGGATGCAAATCGCCGGTCGATGGCCAAATGTCAATTTACGTAAATTTTATGTTTATTTATCCATTGATTAATGGCCGAGGACGCACACGGGGTCCTTTGGTCGCAAGTCTTCAATCATAAGAAGTCGCCCCTTTTTTTCGATGTTCCATGTTCGGTGCTCGCCCTTCGCTTTATTTATGCATACAATTTATAGGCTGAAACCAGCATATTTGTGTCATTAGCCGCAAATTTTTGACCCATTTGTCATTAGAGGCTGACTGCAGACGGGCAGGACCAAGGATTTGCATAAAACAAACGGACACGGCTGTGTGTGTCCTGGCCATTGGCCATTCACCATTGTGCCCTGCCAAAATGTGTGACCGACAAGATTTATCAAGTAATAACAGACATTTCGGACAACCCATAGACCCATTAGTAACACGCTGTTTGACATTGTCTGAAAATATCATTTTAATCACAGACCACACACAAGGAGCACATGGAGCAGGATGGATGGTTGTAGAATGTAGATGTGGATGCGGATGTGAATGTGAGTGTCTGGAAGGAGGCGGAGGTGAGTCCTTCAACGACATGGTCGACTGCTTTCAGCCACGGAGCTTTAAGATGCTTCATGGGTTTTTTATATCTCTTCTAAAATGTTATTAGCCCTTTCGTGTTTACAATGTCTAATGACGAAAGAAAATAGAATTGTAGACTATTTTATAAAAACTAATAATATATTCAACTGAAATATGTTTTCTGTATATCATAATTCCTGTAATCTCTGGTTACTAATAGTTCTATATACGTAGAGTCTCTGGTTTGGCCAAAGTAGGTACCTGGTGCTCTGATTCATGGCGTGTCCGCTTAAGAGAGCGTCCGTGTCCGTTAGTGGTTAACAAATTGAATCCAAGAACTATTCAAATTAATCTAGCAACTTTGCCCTGGCTCATCTGTCTGGTTGTCCGGTTGTCCGTCAGTTGGCGCATTTCCACCACCACCATCGCCATTTCCACCAGGTGGCCCCTTACTGACTGACTGATTTATGTGCGGCAATGTCTTGGGCTGAAAAACTTTCCATTGCGGGTTAAGCCACGGCGAAAGGAAATTAAAAAATTACAGAAAAAAAGAAAAGTGGCAGCCACGAGGAAATCTTGGGCAACTTTTTGATTTGTCTGCCACAGTCAGCCGCCACCACGTTGCAATTGTGCCCCGACCCAACCCCACCCCAGTCCAGATCTTCCCTTAAGTTTTAATTACACGAAACGTGAGCCAGATTACAAACTGCCAGCCCTCTTGATTTGTGTGCTCCGTCCACAAATCAAGCCCAACATGACTGAACTTTCCAATAAACGATTCACTTGTGCTCCTCGACCAATTATAAGTCGTAAGTTATACTTGACAAGGAAGAGATTCCCCTATCGGGTTCAGAAAATATTTTTTTGCCATTTTTGCTGATTACACTAGCTTTCAAATTTAAATTGAAAGTTAAAGAAATACAAATTAAATTATATTATTTTTTAAAATGAATCATAGAATTCAATATAACTGATGTTTTTAGTTGGGATAAAAACGAAAAGCGTGCCTTTCTGTTTCTAGCAAGCAATTTAAATCTCTTGCTGAAATGGAAAATTATTATTAAGAACAACCAGAGTCAGAAACAGAAGCCAAGTTCTGGAAATCAGGTAACACACATTAAGGTCTTTGATTCGATTATAAGGCATTTCTGTACGCTTGTGTGTGTATTTGTATGGGGGAAGGGGCGTTTGCAGGTGGATCGATCGGTATATCTAAAGCTTAGGACCGCACAACATAGTACTTGTGGCTGCAGCGACCAAATTAAATGGATCTCCACTCGCAGCTAGCCTAACAAAATCATTTGGCTATCATATCAGATTAATCGTGTACTTATTGTTGAAAATTACATTTAATAAAATTTAATTTAAAAAAAAAATTACTTTTCCGTAATCTGTAGAAATATTAATAATATTACAATTAAAGTTTGGTTATTCTACTAACTCCTTCACGTTGTTTAAGTGTATTAGGGATGAGTAGATGACAGTTTAGCTTTGAGCCGTTTTCATATTGTGGAGACAAATTAATTGCGAACTCATGTAGTTGCTTGACGATGTCATTCGAATTCATCCAAGTCCCACAATGAGTGTACGTGTGTGTTTGACAAGAAGGGAAAGGGAAAGGAAATGGAAATGGAAATGGCAATGGGTGGGTTGTATTCGGTGCTATAGATATTACCCACAAGACGCCATAATCGTTGTGTAGCTTCCAGTGTAACCCAATTAGTTGACAAGCGTTTCAATACGGCTTTGGCCCGAAGCTCTCCCAACTATGAAATATATCTAAGATTCCTGTATCTCTAGATCAGAGTCATTTGATGGTCTATCATTTAAAAAACTTGTCTTTTCTTTTAAATTTCTTATTTGTCATGTTATATTTTGTTAAATACTCTCTGAAAATTGATGATTATTCAATAAAATTAACTTATATTAAATTAATAATAACAAATTACCTAAAAATAATATAAAATTTAGGCTAGACTATTTCTATTCTTTCGTAATTAAAATAATATTATATACACAAGCTTTAGTTTATTATATTTCAATGGTAAGTTGGCGGTACATTTGTTCACATTAATTGATTAAAATCCCGCTATTGGAATCTATCTCTTATGACAAAAACAAAAGTCCATGTGGGATTTTGATTTGGATTCTGATTCCATCGAAGAACTTAGGTCTCTAAGCACAAAGCAACCACAACAACAAGAATAGCGGGGAGGAGGCGAAAACTTTTTTAATTAAAAGGAAAAATAAGGAACGAAATGAAACTTTTACTTTTGCCACTGACAAAATGTTTCTCCCGGCCATCAACAAGTTAAGCACAACAGAAATTGTTTCTTTACCGTATTTTTCCACCTGTTTTCTTCGATTCGCTTAAACCTCATAACCACCCAAAAAAAAAAAAGAAAAACAAAAAAAGAAACAAAAGAAGAAAACCACCCACTTGGATGCTTCTTTCTTTTGTTGTTGCTCTACTTATTGCGCTTCATTTGCAGCAATGAAATTTAAGCGTTTAGAGAAAAGTTTCTCATGTCTTTGTTATTCAGTCTAGTGTACTTTATGCGATTTATGATGTTTTAGGAAATTAGCTTGTCGATTCTTTATTCACGTTTACTTTGACTACGATATGGTAAATAAAAATAATTAAGTTGAAGCTCAGAAAATATATATTTTAATTAATTTAATTTTTTTTGATCTCAAACTTCTTACAGATTTAAAGTTTTGATACAGATACCCATTATTTTTTTATTATTTTGTATTATTTTGTTTATAACTACAAGGGTTTCTATATACACTGTCTCCCGGATGTTAACATCCTTTTCCGTTTTTATTGACTTTTCCAACGGGTGTCGGCAAAAAGGCCTTCGAAAAAGGGGAAAAAGGAACGGCAGCTGTTCCCTGTGTATTACATTTGAGCACTGTAATTATTATTATTATTATTGTGTATTATTATCATGATTATTTTTATGGTTCTTGCATTTTAAAACAAATGAGACTCGAATAAGAGCTCGCATGTATGCTTGCGGGTGCGCCAAAAATTACCCAAGAAATGGTATTTTTATGTTGCTTTAACTGCTTGTCCGTTGCCCATCAATTTTACCAACTTGCGGAGAAAGTGTGCCAAGGAAATGGCAGCGGCGGGGGTGAAAGGGGAAAAGGAGACCAGCTCGACGAACATAAAAATCAAATTTCCGCATAAATTGTTCGCCCAGCATTTGAAATTTTGTGTGTTAAAAGCGCAGGAAAGCAACGAAATTTTAGTCACTTCACATTCTTTACTTTGGCGAAAAAAATATTGCTACAATCTAATACAGAGATATAAAATTGATCCAAATAATCTGAAAGCCCTAATTAGAACATAATATTTAATACTTTCCCACTATAATTTATTTCAATTTTATTGGTTTTAAACTTTAAAATATCGCGTAGATATGTACTGAAAAGTTTAGATGATTGTATAACCTACGTGCAATAGGGGGAATATTATGGTCGGTGCACTTTCTTTTTAAAATCAGAATGCTCTAATTTAATAGAGCTGCTCATCAAACTCCAAAATTTGTACACTATGTACTATTTTATAACCAGTCAAGATAATTACGTATCTTTGTTTAATTACGATTTAATTCTAGGGTTAAAGCGCAGAAAAAAAACTGAACCAATCTGAAACTTGAGCTTAAAGTGGGGCGCAATCGCAAATGGGACGAGAGCCGGGCAGTGTTTCCAGTTTCAGCGATTAGAGCGGACGAGAGCTGTGTGCTGTGACCTTGGACTGAAACACTGATAAAAAAATATAATAGTACAAATAATATATGCATATTTATTGCAAAGTTTCTTCGTACATATTTGAATTAAATAAAAAAAGGTCAAATTTAATATTAAACAACTTTGAATCAGATTCGAAAATACTAAAGAAATACTAGAAAATTCCAATTACTGGGGTCATAAAAAATGTATGTTTAAATCACAGTTTTAAGTATATAAATAAATATAAAATCTTTCGATTTACCACGTTTTTTTTTCTTAGTGAAAGGAAGCGGAACTGATAAGGCGACGTTGGCTGGGAAGTGGGGAATTGAAATCAAAACCGGACTGGGAACGGAAGAACCTCCGAATGGGTACTGTGTTCTCCTCAGTTGTTTGTTTGCCATCGAGAAGCGCACAATGAAGCCTGTCCTGCTGTTTTGCCTGATCCTAACCACCGCTCTGTTCCTGGGCCAAGGTCACGCGAATCCCGTCGAGGTGGACATTCCCGGCCCCGATGCCAACGAAATAGACAGCGATTTGGACAGCGATGAGGAGACTCCCGACAAGCCACTGCGTATAGTTTCCATCAAGGTCCGGCACATCGAAGCGGATGCCGCCCTCTGTGCCCAGCAATCGCCCAAGCACCCACACCACCCACAATGCCACAGCTACTGCAAGCGTCAAGGTCACTGGATAGGCCAGTGCAAGAAGGAAACCTGCCACTGCTTCTCCTAGGTATTCCACACCACATCATCTTTTTTTTTTTTACCCAGAACTCAAAAATATTAACTGTATGCGATAAACTTTAAGAATGTGCAAGTGCCTTTATATAACCAATAAATAATGTCTTTCTTAATTATTTTATAATAATTGTTCATGTAATATACAGTTTGCCTATTTGATTTTATAAATTATATAAACTTTAGGTGTTTCTGATTTTAATTTCCAAAAGTTTTTAGTAAAAATGCTGAGCAGAAATAGAGTGAGCTGATACCATGAATATTTATGATCTTTAAGGGTCACTCGTCAACTTTTCCATTTCCCCATCCATCCAAGTAAAACGTAACTTTTGGTTGATTTTAGCTCGCCTAATTATCAAGTGGGTAAGCAGTCCGCATATTATTATAATTTTGGGGCTAATGAAATCGGACAAAGTGTCCAGGAATGAATCCTTGTCCGGTCGGTGAAAACAATTTCCAATTAAAATCAAATCTAAACTCGAGTTCAAGGAGTCAACAATTTTAATGAATGTCATTGAAGGCACAAGCCGCGCCAATTATTTCCATTAGTTGACATTTACGCAGTGGATTGTGGGTTTGAAGGAGGTGAAGTGCCGGTCAGAGGTCGCAGATATTCGCATTATTAGCCAAGTTTGATTGATGGCATTGTTCTGTGCAATAAGCTTGCAGAGGTTGCGGGGAATCCCCGAATATCCGACTCCCCGAATGCCCCCATCATTGCTTTCCTTAGTTAGATGTGACAAGGAAAGTGGGTAAATACGAAATAGATTTTCCATCTGGCATTTCTATTTCTCCCTTCCCCCCTTCATGTATTTCCCATCTTCTCACACATGTTGTAAACTGATTTTAGCTCAATATAATGTGACGTCTCTCACTTTTGATAAGGGTTCTCTCCGCAGCCGGAGGCTGTCAAATGATAAGCAGCAGACAAGCCCAATAAAAGGGATATAGGCGGAGATACCAAATTGTTATTATTACAACACTTTTGTATGGAGGAAGTGGCGGAAGCGGGGGTTCAAGGGCCCCGAAGAAGACGAAGAGGCACGCACGGTTGCCTTTCCAATTAAAAATTCAAAAGCCTTTTTCCAGCCACTCACCAAATTGGTGAATTACGTGCCAAACAGAAAGACAGAAGGTTCCCAGCTCAAACGGAAAGTATGATTTATTTATGGATACAAGTATTTATATGCACATGCATTACCAATATTATATCGAAACGGCCTGGCCTATAAGTATAGGCCAACAGAGATCATTTTTTAAGATTTTCAGATTGATTTTACCACTACACTCTAATAAAGCATTCAATGAATGCTTTGCAGATAAGATAACTCCTTAGCATTCCCTAAGCTTCCTCCATTTAAGGTGATATTAAACAGTTAGTTCTTTAAGCGATAACTTCTAAAATTATGACAAAAATAAATAATATAGATATCCTCGAAATTTTCGCACAAAAAATACATTTGATATAAACTATGGTCAATTCAACCTTATTTCATATCAATAAAATTTTATTTTGTATTAAATGTAGTATTTTTTAACAAATAATATAAAAGAAGAAAAAAATAATCTTAAGGGCAGAAACAAACGATTTAATTCCGTAATAAACCAAACTAAAAGTTTCATTTCCATCTGTTCTCAAAACAAATGGATAAATAAACTGTGTAAAACTTATGTGTACTTTGAGAATTTCCTTGTAAGTTAAAGGTTCCGGCTCTCGATGCCTGGCCTTATTAGTTAGATTGTTAATCGTTCAGGGGCGCCGGGTGAATCGCTTCCGAAGGCGAGAAGGAGCAGCTTAACTGGCGCCGGGGGACACGGGATCCCTAATCCGGGATACAGGTAGCGGTACTACATCTAGATATTACCAGCTCCCCAGCCAACTTACATATAAAAATATACATATTTGGGTGTATATCTTTATAATAATTTGTTTGCCGGCAAAACTCTCCCCGGGGCGCATTTAACTAAAAACACAGCCAAGGACAACGTTGATGGTTTGATGGTGGAACGGTGGGATGTTGGGATGTAAGGATGTAGGGATGTTGGGGTGGCAGGATGCGGAGGATGCAAGGTGGCGAGTATCCCGGCCAAACTGACTGCTCGTGGCAATTATAAATTGTTGAAAATAATTTCATTAAATATGTAAAAAGGCGATGCGAAATAGAGGAGCGTATTAAAGGAGGGCAGGAGGATGTGTTCCGAACTACGTGCCAGCTATTAACTTTAACCTCTACAGGACCCAGGACCGAGGACCCACTCTCCAGGACACTCTATCTATCGTTCCGACCCTCGAACTTTGACTTCCACTTCCTGTGGCCTCGAAAAAAGTTCTCCACTTTCATATTTCCACTGCAGAATTGTGACGAAGATGCGATGCTAGTGATGCTGGTGATGCTGCTGCCCGGGAGCACTAAGTAACTTATTGGCCCGGGGGGAAGTCGGCTTTTGGACACATTCCATTTGCTTGCAAATTTAATGATTTCGCATAATGAAATTTCATTTTTGCCCTGCAATTGTTCATTTTACCTGGGTCCGCTGAGTGGTATTGCAGTCGCCTGCCATTAGGAGCCGACGCCATGCAGGAAATTAAGTTGGCAACCTAATGAACTCGGGCTGGACAGGGACACACAACTGAATTGAGTGGCTAAAAGTTCAGTCTGCACTCGGAGAAAATGCCAGCAGAAAATGATTCAAGCATCAATTTTCCATTCAATTGTTACTTGAGTTTTGTATACTTTTGTTTTTATTAACTCTAATTTTTGGTAGTATTGATAATATCATTAACCGAAATATGTATTAAACCTGAATTTATGAATAAAATTTGTTTTTAAATCAAGTAAATTAACAAGCACACACATTTGCAAATACCTTCTTTCTTTAAAATTAATTAGTACAGCATATACATATGTACGTTTGAACGAGCTAGAAAGGTAAAAATGGCATTACATATGAAATTGAAGCAAACATTAAAAAAAATTATGTACACAGAACAGAAGTAATACATTGAAGAAAAATTGTTTTATGGTAGCTATTGAAATACACTTGTATATATCTAAAACAAATGCACAGTAACAAGTTTTTCAACTTGAATTAAAAAAAAATTGAACTACAACAAAAACCAAAATATTTTTAAAAATAATATGAGTTTGTTTATGTTTTTAGTGCTTTCTTTCAGTGTATAGTGTACATGGCGTCCACACTTCCCCTATTTGTTTTCATTAAATTGTGCAATTATGCGGTCAAGTCAAAGAAGTGCACATGTGCCAAAAATAAATGAGAAATAAATTATTTGCAATTTCCATTACACAATTTGCCAGTATTTACGAGTATTTCATGGAAATTAAATTCATGAAAAATTCTAGGTCACCAAAGGGCCTTCCACTGGGATTTCCTTCGCCACTTAGCCGGCTCGTCGCATTCAACCAGCCACTCCCTTTCAACCGGAGCGAGCAAACAGTTGCTCATTTATTTCTTTGCCTTGTCGCGCTGCGCTTGAAACTCATTACTCATACCACACGTTGGCCATGTTCAAAAAAGGGCCAAGGGGCCAAAGGGGCGGCGTGTGCGTGAGTCACAAATTTGATTCACATGCGCTCCATTGGGTCGAAAGAATACGGAAACACTTGACTCATTTTAATAAAATAAAAGTAATGAGTCCTACCAAATTAAATCGCGGCCAATTAACTGGAAATCCTTTTAACACAATCCCTGATTTATTAAGATCATACAAAATTGTCATATCTTTTTTGAAACCATTTAATTTCGGAAATCCCAAAAATCTTCTATAAATATTTCTAAATTGTAACGATTAAAGGTTAAATTGTAAAAATTAAATTATTAAAAATAAAAACAAACATAGACCATCGTAAAAAAATGCAATATTTTGTTTGAAACCCTAATGGCAAAACTGATCTAAAAATATTACTAAATGGCAACGATTAAAGTTAAAATTAAATTAATTATCAAAAATAAAAATTACTCTCGTAAATAAAGTTATTACCGGAAATATGTGCCGGTACACTTGGGCAATTTTAATGGATGTTTAATCGTCTTGGAATTTCAATAATAATCTGTGCTGCGTGGGAGACCCAGTATCATCTTCCTCTTCCTGTCAAACAACAACCGACAATTTGACGCTTTAGTTGGTGCATAAGTGAAGTTGAAATACCGCCTTTCGATCAAAGGCAACGCAAAAAAAGTAACGAAAAATGAAAAACGAAGCAGTGGCAGTGGCAGTGGAAACGAAATTAGGCGTTGAACAAATAAAAAGTATGAAAAATGTGCAAATTAGCTTAAATTCGTTCACGCACGAATGAAACGAGACTCGGCGCTGAGTAGCTGGGCAGGCACTTGGTATTGGGGAAATGATATAATTGCTGGCGCAGGAAACTTAACTGACTGAGTGAGTGAGTGACTCAACTGAACTCAAAAAAGAAAAAAAAATGAAAAAGCAGGGGAAGCCGAGTAAAATGCAAAGTTGCCGCGCATGCTGCGAATGCCCCAAAGTGTTGCACACTTGACTGCCTCGAATGATGGGAGTGGAAATTCGAAGGGAGGATGGCTTACACGGTTTGCCACAGCAGCAGCAGCCGCCCAATTGCCAGCAGCAATTTCCACCCGCTTTTCCCACCCAGTGGGTGACTTTTCTGACTCCTTTCTTTTGTGGGCGTCAATTACAACCAGGCTCAGCTCACTATTCCCTTTTAATTTCCTGCCTGCCTGCCTGTTGTCGGCGTTGCTACTCAATGAGTGCTCCGTTTTTTAATGGACTTTTTAATGCACAGAAATAAAAGATGATATCAAACAATGATCTAAATGGATGTTAATAAATGGTAATGATAAAGGTTGGGCTGGGTGTATGCAAATGAATGTAGAGTTTAAAATAAAATTATCCAAAATACTAAATAGGTATTTTAGAACAAATTTCACAAATCGGAAAAAGAAATGAGTATTTTATTCGAAAAAGAAAATATAGAATAACATTTAAACTTGATATTGATTTTGTTGAAGTGTAAATGAGAATTTCAAAATGTATTACAGGAGTTGAAATTTGAGAAATAAAAAAAATAACTTTATAGACCGTTTTTTAACATGCATTTCCTAAAATACATTTTGTACACAGTAAAGAAAAAAGTCTGTATTTGCTTTCCATTAATTGGTTTATGGTTACTCAAATCCTTCTGAATCATGAATGCAATGCATCGGCACAATCAACCGTTTTTTTCGAAACCGAAGCTACTCAAGGCATCTATTCGATTTTAATTCCACTTCTGTTTCTTACATCTGGAAATATTTGCATGTACAATGCGGTTGGTTGTCTATTGCACGAAAATTTATGCGGGTACATGATTTTTCAGGAGCACTGAACAAAAAAAAAGACGCCCGTTACTTACCGAAAGGCCATTCCTTCGAATCGGAGGCATTCTTTCGGACCGTAATAAGCTTTACAGCTTATGGAGGTCCTGAATGACCGAGCGCCTCGATAAAGCCAGAAGGAACCAAGCCAGATGCAGCGACTACATGGCACCAATTGCAGGCACTTCTTGGGAACTTGCTTACTTATTCATGGCATGGCTCCTATTCGAAGCTTGCCAATTGCCGTTATTCCAGGGGAAATGTACTCGGTAGCCATGAAAGACCGGGGTATATCGGCCCAATGCAAAATTTATATAATATCTATAGAGGGTTAACCACTGGGAGCTATAGCTAATATAATATTTTTTATGAAGATAAAGTTTTTAGGAATTTTTCTAAAATTAATAATATTAATAATATAATATATCTTAACTTCTAGGAAAATAGAATGAGGGCTACCCTGAACAATAAGTTAAATAAATACCTAAATATTTTTTTAATAACCTGAATGATCTCTGCTATTGAAAAAAACAGTATAAATATTTAAAATTATATAATAATAATTTTTTATATTTTAAATTTAAGAAGCTTACTGCCAGTTACAAGCTTTGAGCAACTTTTTAGTACTTTTAAAGAATCATACACATTTAATCGATTACTTTTTGAGTAATTTGTTGCACTAGTAAGCAGCTCAAGGCATACAACACCTTCTTGAGCAGGACAAATAATACCAAGTACCTAATAGCTAATATAATATTTTTTATGAAGATAAAGTTTTTAGGAATTTTTATAAAATTAATAATATTAATAATATAATATATCTTAACTTCTAGGAAAATAGAATGAGGGCTACCCTGAACAATAAGTTAAATAAATACCTAAATATTTTTTTAATAACCTGAATGATCTCTGCTATTGAAAAAAACAGTATAAATATTTAAAATTATATAATAATAAATTTTTATATTTTAAATTTAAGAAGCTTACTGCCAGTTACAAGCTTTGAGCAACTTTATAGTACTTTTAAAGAATCATACACATTTAATCGATTACTTTTTGAGTAATTTGTTGCACTAGTAAGCAGCTCAAGGCATACAACACCTTCTTGAGCAGGACAAATAATACCAAGTACCTAATAGTCCAGAAGCATTTATTTTTGTTTTTTTTTTGTTTTTCTTGCCTGGGTTACATGCAACCAAAGCCCGGAGTGTCCTGCATTCCTTGTCGTTCGCCGGATACGGACGCCGATAGCGGAAATTATACTATCTGCTAACTGGTTTCGTAATGTTTACTTGGCCCTCCACTCCATCGTCCGTCGCCCATCGCCCATCGTCCACCTCGGAATGCATCCACAAAATATTCAGTGAACAAATCGACGCTCGGCCAGCAATTGCATTTAAAGAGTTTTTCATTTGACTGAGCAATTTTCTTTTTATTTTAGTTGCCACAAGGATTGGCGTTGGTTGGGATTTTTGAAGAGTGGTAAGGGGGGTGGGGAAGGGACAGGGACTGGGGCTATCGGGGGTTTATTAGGCAACCTTTTCTGTGCATTTGGCATTTTGGTAGCTCACCGCTTTCGGTTTTGCTCTAATGGCAAAGCGATCTCTCTCAGAAAAGGCGCACTGTCAGTTACAGGTTTTTGTGATTTATACTAAGATAAATGTCATGTTTGTTCATTTGTTAGCCGTGTTTGTTTATTCATATGTCTGCTGTGTGTTTGGTTTGCGGCGCTTTGCGAACGCTTGAATGCGTTTCCACATAGCTAAATTCAAGCCAGGTCCTGGTCCGAATCAACGGAATCCTGAATCCAGAATCCTTTATTTGCCCAGTGTCAGTGCTTTCAACCAAGAAGGAAGTTTTGATTGCGCGGATAACGAAGCTTGCACATTGTCTTTTTTCTGGTCGTCATTTTAAAGTTTTTACCATGCAATACTGGTAAAATTGATATTAAATAATGTAATTTTGCCGAATTCTCCCTTTTGAAGATGCTCTGACCTCGAATATACATATTTTTCTTTATTTTCTCCCCTCAAAATATCCCATCTTAACCGGCCTTCTT